AGGGAGAGAGAGAGAGAGAATCACCCTGATCAATTAGGAGAATTATGTAGATGATGTTTTCTAATTTTTAAATAAATAGGCATTATATTTTTTATTCTGAAGAAAATGGATATTCTTATCACCATCTAGACTCTTCTCATTGTTCCTAACTGAGCTTTGCTTTACTTGTTTCACCAAAAGCAAACATAGCTTGAGGGGAAAAAAAGACTCAATAGGTAAATATTGACCTGTTGCTAAGTGAATTGGAGGCACATTAGCCATTGAAGCAAAGTCTAGACTGTACAGGATTCATTTATGATTTATCTTTGAGTCAATTATTTGAAAACAGTCTTAAAAGCTAATTTTAATGTTTAGGAGGGAAAAAATATCCTTACTCTTATAGCATGCGTTGAATGCTGATCTCAAATCAACTTGTTTCCCCTCCCAGAACAGCAAGAGGATATGTCTGGATTTGCATGAGAGTCATAACAAGCCCCTGCCTGCAGTCAGGCTACAGGGCAATGCTGATAGCTCACTGCATCAGATACCTGAAGCTTCCTGCCACCGAGACCAGTGTTTGTGGAGCCTGCAGACAGGCTTCCTCCTAGGAAAAAATTTTCAAAGTCCCAGGGAAAGGACAATTTTATCCATAACATCCACTTCCTACCCTTCGCTTCAAACACAGTAGAGGCTATTCTGGAAACATGATACACAGAAAAAACATCAGAGGGCTGTGGCTTCTACCAGTGATGGAAGTAGAAAGAGGACATGCAGTACTCAAAGGCCACCTGGCGGGGGGCAGTCCTGTCAATGACCCTCCTCTGGGCTGGCCTCTTCTTGTTCTGTGCTCTCACCTATACCCTGAGAAAACTCCTCTCCACCTCTCTCTAGGGATAAGAAGGGAGCCCACTCCAGACACATCACAGTTTGGGTCAGGTATCCTCTCTGCCATGCCCAGCTTCCCAGTCCTTAAAATTACAGGAAAAATAAATTTGACCTCCAAGTCATTAAGAAGATTTGGTGACAGAATGTCTCAGAGAGGTGCTCAACAAATATCAAAGGCAGGAATATACACAAAAGAGAGGGTGTTAAGACGGTTTGCTAACACCACATGAACACAGACCAGAATCTGAATCTGAAAGAGGTTGGATTAAAAAAGGAGGAAGAGCCGGGAGTGGTGGCACACGCCTTTAATCCCAGCACTTGGGAGGCAGAGGCAGATGGATCTCTGTGAGTTCAAGGTCAGCCTGGTCTACATGGTGAGTTCCAGGACATCTGGGGCTACAGGGAAGAATATTCAGGCTGAAATGAAGAAGGAAATGAAACACTCAGTAAGCCAGTTAGAAACAACAGGAGAAAGCCTCACCAATAGGATGAATGAAATGGAAAACAGAATATCAAGGCTGGAAGATAAAGTGGATGAATTAGAATCCCCCCCTCAAAAAAAGGAGGAAGAAAAAAATCCTTTTGTTCATAATCATTTTTCCTGTTCAAGTCAGAGAGGACTTGTGTGTTTGGAATTTAGCTGCTTAAATAATGTTCCAACATGCTCTAAGAGGGCTGGTCCTGTAATCAAAGAGAGAAGTCTTGGAAGTAAACTCTTTCTAGGGAACTTGTCTTTTCACACTCACCTTTTCAAACTATAGCTAATTCCTAAACAAATATTAGCTCTGCTTTTGACCTAGGCCTCCTACACCCTCCTAATCCAGGCCTCACCAGGAGAAAGCCTGGGGACTGGTCACTGACTGGAGGGGGTGGGAGGGAGGGGCTTTGTGCTGACGCTGGCTCAGGTTGATGCACCATAAGGATGGAACAGGGGCAGTCTACCATACCAGGAAGTGGGTGAGGGTCATCTCAGTAGAAATTACCAGATCAATACCATAGGCTCATTGGGAATATAAGCCAGGGAAGGAAGAAAGCAAAGGAAGACTATAGCATATGTCTTTGGGTTATTTTTTTTAAAGAAAAACAAGAAAAAGATGTAAACTGCCATAAGCAGCTTTTATTTGCACTTTGAATAATTAGTACAGAATCAAATCTTATGTTTTTCCAGACCTTGGGCAACAGTAGCTTTCCCATGGCTCCCTTCCTCTAATTCCTTAGGAACCAATGTTGGGCACAAATTTATACTTGTCCACATATAAACTTAAGAGGGTTTTAATAAAATTACCTTGATGTTATAATTTAAATGTGACATGTGCCCCATAGGCTCATGTGTTTGAATAGTTGGTCCCTGGGTGGTGATGCTATTCTGGGAGGTTGTGGAACCTTTTAGACAGAGTCTAATGGCAGATGTAAGACTATAGGGGTGATTTCAGCCCAGGCCCTCTGCTTCCTGATTGCAGACACCAGTCACCTCACACTGGCCAGCTTGGTTGAGTCTGGAAGGAAGGCCCCATTAATCAGAAGGTTATCAGAGGGAAATTTAACACTGCAAGGCTTGGAAACAGGTTGTGGACCCCAGAATGCAGCTATCCTTCATTTCATAGCCACAGTTTCCTCTCTCAGAAGCATGCCCACTCTCCTGCCTCCACAATGCAGATGTGGCCCACTGGAACTGGAGGTACTCCCTCCACGTTGTGTTCTCTTAGCTAATGCTCTAAACATTTTAATATCCAGGAGATGGAGAGGACTCCATGACTCAGCCTTTGTGCTTCTCTGTGACTCTGGGTAAGGATGGCTTCTCTGTCCCTGGATTGGCAAAAGGACATTTTCTAGAGTGCCAAAATATTCTCCAAGTTTTCCTAGTTACCTAAAAATGTCTGTTTTCTGCAGAGTCCTTGTCATGGATGATGAAACCATGCTGTGGAGAACAGGATGTTTCCAAGCAACAAAGATATGATTCTTTCTCCTACCCATCAGGATTTAAACACCAGATGGCTATGGAGACAGTGGTTATTTAAACACTATGAGGGAGGCCATTTTCCATCCATGCCTTATAGATACAATATGAGAGGGTTTTTTTTTTTTTTTTCCGCTTGTTTTGCAAAACAAGGCTAGAACCCAGGACCTCATGCATGCTAAGCAAGCGCTCTCCCACTGAGCAGAATCTTTAGCCTGAGAAGGTTCTTTGAAGATCACACAAAGTCAAACAGAACAGCAGGTGGGCATACAGACATTGGAGTAGTCTACTCACTCTTTGGTCAGAAGAGGACAGGACTTGAGCAGAAAGCGGGAGAGGCCGGAGTCTTGGAAGTAGAGGTCAGGCGGGGCAGTGGGGCTCTTCAGGTTCAAACAGCGGACGATCACATAGAGCACAGCAGCTACTGCGGCCAGCTTCACCCCGTCAAACACAGCTGGGAGCTCAGGGGTCTCCAGCATGGCATTCATCTTGATCTAGGGAACAGAGGCACAGGTCTGGGTTCACAAACATGACATGGAGGGGTGGAGCCCACCTCACTGTAGCAGCATGACCCACTGTAGGCATGCTCCATATATGCCCACTGGGTACTTTACACAGACTGCCACCAGATCCTGACAGCACCGATGCCCAGGCAATACTCCTCAATTACAAAAAGTTCTGAGTGCTGACTGACTAAGCAAAGCACTGTGTTCTTTAATCTCCTGAGCATTTGCAAGATGAGAAAATTGGAAAATGTACAGTAATAGTGTGCTCTTTAGAGTGGGGAAAATAAGGCCAGTTAGAAAGGGCTGGCAGTGGCACCTTGACTTCTGTTAATAGGCCACTTAAAACTCTCTGTAGACTCAATTGCACCTGGAGCCCAGGTGTGTGTTGTGTTGTTTCCAGTCTTGGACAGCAAAGTGGGATTGCAGGTGCTATCAGGTAAAGCTGTACTGCCTGCTAGCCCTACTACTCGATTTTCAGAGCAGGGTGAGATAAAGCTATGTTGGCCTAACTCAGCTCTCTGCTCTGGGAGTCTGTGGTGCTGGAGTTCCATTCAGACTTGGCCCAGATCTTGGTGGTCCTGGCTGAGGCTTTCAAGCAATGTGAATGGAACTAGTCAATTAAAAAAATGTTTTTCTTGCAGATGGTACCTGACCATAGTCATTAATTCAAAACTGGGGCATAAGGACAGACCAAATTTAACCACTAGACCAAAATTTAAAATGCAATACACAAAATATATATGCATATCTGATTTTCTCCAAACTCTCCTAATATTTCATCTTCTGTTTTTTTAGAAGGGGACTTTAAAATTTTTAAATTTTATTTTATATGTATGAGTGTTTTGCCTGCATGTATGTAAGTGCACCATGTGCATACAGTGCCTGCAGAGGCCAGAAGAGGATGTCAGATCCCCATTACGGACAGTTGTTAGTAGCCATGTGGGTGCTGGGAACTGAACCTGGGTCCTCTGTAAGCAGTCAATGCACTTAACTGCTGAAACATCTTTCTAGTCCCAATATTTCATCTTTTAAGGTAAGCTTTTCCTTATATACAACACACACACACACACACACACACACACACACACACACACAACTCTAAATACATAAAGCCAGACATCAATGGCAACAATGACAAAAATTTAGTGTTTTCCTTGCTGCTCAACAGAACAACAGAACATCAGCTGCTACCTTAAGAATTAGGGAAACCAGCCAGGCATGGTGGTGTACACCTGTAATCCCAGCACTTGAGAAGTGGAGGCAGAAAGATCAGGAGTTCAAGGCCTGAGCCACAAGACCTTGTCTCAAAAATAAATAAATAAATAAATAAATAAATAAATAAAAAAAAATAACTGTTCTGCATTAAAAAAAGTATATATACACATACATATACATATAAACATATATACACACACACATATACATACATATACATATATGAGACAGGGTCACACTATGTAGCACAGGCTGCTCTGCTCAATACATAGGGTGGTTGTGGTGAAGGGGGAACTAGAAATCTAACAAAAGGGAGAAAATGTAACTCTCATAGCCCAGGTAGCCATGGTAACTGCTTCCCCTGGAATGTTTTCAAGTAGCCTAGGCTAAAAACAGTCATCATGAGAACTATGGTAGCCAATGATGGAGATGAAATGGGAAGGGGAAAAAAAATCTCTAAAATATATTTGGAGTATAACAGACTGAAATCTAAGATTACAGCAAATCTTGAAGAGCCTCAGAGAGTCTATTCTAAAATCAAGGTGATTCCCCCAAATACAGGGCCCAAAACACTGTGGGCAATCGCTAGCAGGGGTCCTGAATTAGGTGAGAAACTAAGATCAAAGGTCTTGGTCCCTTAACTAGCCTTCTATCATCAAGAAAAGTTCTGAAAAATTTCCTGAGGGCTAGCAAGATGGCTCAGTGGATAAAGGCACTTACAGCCAAGCCTGATGACCAGTATTTGATGCCTAGAACCCACATGGTAGGAGGAGAGAGCTGAGTCACAAGCTGTCCTCTGATCGCCACACACATGCTGTGTCATGAGTGCATCCATACATAAGCACACTAAATATATTTTTTAAAAGATCAAGGTCATCCTTGGCTACATAGCCATATGCAAGATCAGCTAGGGATATTTGAGACCCTGTCTCAATAAATATACAAATGAAAACTTCCTGACACAATTTTGCACTGAAGCGAGACCTTAAAATACACTCTAGGCTGCATTATCCTTTCATTTGCCATGAGTTTACTTAAAACTTGACTTCTGGTGAAAAAGTCACTTCACTCCTGGAGTCACATTGACTGAGGGCTATGCATAAAAACCTAAAATGAGGATTTCCAACATGGGGGTCTGTGGGTCTATGGGATTCTAGAATCCAGGAACCTCCAGAAATCGTATTAAAAAGCTTATGTATATGTGTGTATAGTTTTCTGGGAAGAAGAAGGCTCGCAGTGTGTATGTGTGTGTGTGTGTGTGTGTGTGTGTGTGTGTGTGTGTGTTTTGAGATGTGGTCTCAGAAAGGCCAAGCTGAATTCAAACTCATCATGTGGCCAAGGACAACCCTGAATTCCTTGTCCTTTTACCTCATTCTCTTGACTGCTAGGATTATAGGCGTGTACAGCCACACCTGGCTTAGGTTCCCAGCTTTAACAAGATTCTAAGGAACCTGTGGCCCAAAAATGTACACAGCATGCTTAATGATTTCACTTGCAGCTCTCAATCCTCGCCTCGAGAGGTTTTACCACCTCTGCCAGCCACACCAAACACCCAAGGCAGGACAGCTTATTGGTATCAATTTAAAAAAAATATTTATTATTTTAATTTTATGTGTGTAAGTATATTGCCTGCATGTATGTGAGTGCACCTGTGAGTGCAATGCCGCAGAGGTCAGAAGAGGGTTTCGGATTCCCCTGGAACTGGAGTTAAGGACAGTTCGTAGCCACCATGTGGGTGCTGGGAATCGAACCCAGGTCCTCTGCAAGAGTAGTCAGTGTTCTTAACCGCTGAGCCATCACTCCAGCCCCTGGTATCAATTTTTAAGTCTAAAAGTGAAAGACAAAACAAAACCCATTGGGGCAGGCATGGTATTGCATGTCTGTAATCCCAGAATTCCTGCAGCTAAGGATCATGAGTTCCAGGCCAGGCTGGTCTACACAGTGAAACCCGGTCTCAAAACAAAAACAGAAACCAAAAACTAACCAGAAATTCTAAAGTTTCTCTGATTATGTCCTAGTAAAATGGAAATTAAGTTCTTCCCTGTCCTCCTTGCTGGAGAGAGAACAGAGATTTGCAAGTGCTTTACCTGTTGCCTTACTGGTTAAACCTAGTAATAACTCTGATTGAACGGAAAAATAAAGAAGTCCTTCCCTTCCCACAGCTATTCACTACTTACTAGCACATGGGTAGGTAGAGAGGAGAAGCAAAAATGAGAGTCTTAGTAATACATACCTATATCACTTATTCCTCTCACAGAGAATATGGGTTTTCCTTGAAGTACGGTTGGGCCGATAAGGTCCGATCTCTTATTCAAATTAACCTAAAAGCTGAAAAGATTGGATGGTAAGGTTTTAAAGAATGAGAAGATAACCTTTATTTTCTTTTATCTTTTTTTCTTTGGAGACAGGGTCTTGATTTGTAGCACTGACTGGCCTTAAACTTGTGATAATCCTGCTGCTTCTGCTTCTCCAAGTGTTAGGATTACAGGCATGTGCCATCATACCCTGCCAAGAAACCATTTTAATTAAAACATAAGCAGAGTCTACTTTCTCTGTATTCAAAGTCTTTCGGGTCAGTTCTTTTTTGTAATATTCTAAAAATACATTTAAAATTAAAAAGCAATTACGTGTATGCTTATGTGTGGTATGTGCACACGAGTGCAGATGCCTACAGGGATCAGAGACTTTGGATGACCTAGAGCTGGAGTTACAGGCAGCTGTGAACTGCCTGATGTGGGTCCTGGGATCTGAACTTGGGTCCTCTGGAAAAGTAGTACATGCTTTTAATGGCTGAGCTATCTCTTCAGCCCCCCAAAATAAAAGATTTTTTAGAATTGACATGTATGCCATGCTCTTGGCTGTTTCCACAAATGTGCTGAGGGAAGCTCTTGTGACCCTACCAAGACCAAAGGTTCTCACTGGCTTCCACAAAACGTTTCAACCATGTTTCTTCTGACCATGGCAAACTCGTTTTGCTTTTAACCTTTATTCCACAACATGATCTTCAGCAGTGCCTACGAGGGCAGGAATCATCTCTGTGTGGGCAATGAAACAACTGAGAAGGCTGAGAGTGAGAAAGCACAGCAGGTAACTCTTTTCTTCCAAACAGATAGCAATGCTGAGGGAAAATGGGAGCCAAGGAAAGTAAAAGGGCACAGATTGGCTAAAAAAGAATGTCTAGAAACAGAATAGAGCTGAAAACAACAGGTAGGGGCTGCTGCACCTGCTAGGACTAGGTCTAGACAAGGGTTCCAAAGGCTGACTGCTGAGCACACTAGGAATTACAAGGGATCACCATGAGATGAGGGGCCAGAGACCCCATTCCTCTGGGGGAATGAACTAAGAGATCTGTGGATTTCAAAGCAGCAGAAGAAGCCAAGATGAAAACATGGAGACAGATAGTGCTTATGTGGGAAGCTATGTTCTTCATGCTTCATGCATATGAACTCAGTTAATCCTTCCCACACCCTATGAGGTAGATACTGTTATCACCCCATTTTACAGATGAGGAAACTGAAGCCTGAGAATATTAAGTGGCTTGCCCCAAAGTTACACAGCTGATAGGCAGAAAAGTCAAGTTTCATTTCTGGTTTTGGAGGCTCTCTTCCTAACCACCATACTGTGTGACTTGAAAGCCAGAAAGGCAGAGAAAGAAGCAAGCAAGGAAATGAGGTATGGGAACACACATATACAAGACATTGGAGACTAACCCAAAGTCATAGCTACACAAGCAGAGATGGAACTCAAGCCCCATTTTTTTCTGATTCACCACACCAAAATGATTAAGAACACAATGAAACCCAGTTGAAGAAGAGACTCAATTAACTTTCAGTGATCTTGCCCCACTTCAAATTTTTATGAACTCTTCATATTCCAAGACAAATTAGCCACAGGGGCCCAGAGTGTGGTGAGGTAGGGACTATAGAACAGTGTCTCCAGCCACATCACAGGCCATCTGAGCCCTCCAGTCTCAAAGGTTCAGCTGCAGGATGAAAACAAGGCATAGACCAGACTCAAGATCTAAGCTCATGGCTAGTATATCTGCCTGGCTCTGGTTGTGATGCTGAATTTTTGTGTCAGGAGCTCACTCTACATCCTAGACTGGCCTTGAACCCTTGGCAGTTCCCCCGCCTCAGACTCTCATGTGCTAAGATTACAGACACAAACTACCATGTCTGGCTTTGCCTAATGTTTTGACAAAATTGACTTTATTAGCTGCCAAACACCAGAATGAAGGTAAAAATCTGTATTTCTGGTTTTTCTCTGAAAAAAAAAGCAACTGAAAATTTGGTCAGCTAGCATTCTCCCATGGCAACAATGAATGGGGCTGGACAGCAGCTGTCCCTTCAGATAAGACATACTACACTAGCCCATCATTTTTGGTACCTGAATGGTTCCTGTAGTTATCTTACAGAATATCTATCCCTTAGAAAAAAAAAACTATCTAAAATCTCTTCTAGCCTTGGATAAGTCTGTTTGACTGAATATTTAATAATATCAGTATATACACAAGTCATAAATTCATTAAAAAGTATGGAAAGTCCAACTGTCAAAGCATATAGAATAATATGATATAATAGTTCTCATTATTGATGAATTATTAAAGTCTATGTCTAAATCTCTGTCCATAAAATATTTGAAATGGCTTCAATATTTGGGAATGTGCATTACTGAGTAAAATGGCATATTCCCGGCTCCCTTGCAGCTAGGTGAGTCCATGTAACTAAATTCTGTCCAATTCTGAAAGCTCAGGTCTGATTTCTGGGAATGCTCCTTAAGAGGCAGGCAGTCAACCCTACTCTTTTCCCTTTCCTGCCTCCCTGGAATACAGACAATATGGCTACAACTCCAACAGGCATCTTGAGCCATGAAACAATCTTGGGGTAACTCTAGGAGGCCATTATAAAACAGCATACTAGAAAGAATTTATAGGAGCCACCATATCAGACCTAAGCTAGCTAGGATTTCTTTTATGTGAGAGAAGAGTTTATACCACTGTTATTTCTAGGAACTTTTACTCTATAATTTCTAGTGACACATAAGGAAATACTATATACCTATATCTTCATGATGCTAGAGGCATTGATTGCTAGGTGCAAGATGCTTACACTGCTAGTCATAAGAGTACTAGCATTTTTTCACTTTATTTGTTTTAAAAATTCATAATAACTTTAAATATTTTGTTATTAGAAAAAGCTTTAAGGGCTAGGAATGGAGCTCAGTGGTAGAGCATGTGTTTAGAATTCACAAAACACTGCATTCAACACTTGGCACCACAGGAAGGAAGAAAAGGAGGAAGGGAGGAATGCTGGTCAGCTGGCTTTAAGACAACAACTAACAAAAACAAGGAAAAAAACAGTACAAAGAAAATACATATATCAATATACACAACAATTATGCATGTGGTACAGCTAGACTATCTCTGAATTTTCTGTCAGAGGAGAAAGGGAAATGATCAATGATTGCCCAAACTGGAAAGAGCTAACAGTGCTCTTACTCCCAGATGCACTTGGTGGAAAACAGGCCTTTCTGGTATAGAATTCTTATAAAACTCTATAGGACTTTATATAAGGGGACTTGAGTGATGTGATAGTATCCTCCTACAACTTTTTTAAAATAGCAAATGCAGTGAAAAATTAATTTCTCAACCCTTGAAAAGTGCCAAGGTTTTAAAATTCAGTTCTGGGCAGGCAATTCCATGAATGGTTTATGACTATTATGGCCCAAATACACAGCCTTGATCCAAGACTTGATCCTGAGGTCCTGAGCAGCAGGCTAGTTCTGCTGTATGTTCCTAGGGATAGCACCCTTAAATTTCAAAAAGCTTAAGTAGCTATGTACTGTATGCCTAGCACTGTGCAGAACAATTAAGTACAGTTTACATATAACCAGGGAGAAAAGAAGTTTATGTTAAGGTTCTGTATACTTTAGAAATTTAGAGATAGGGCCACACATGGTGGTACACACCTTTAATCACAACACTCCAGAGGTAGATGGATCTCTCAAGGTTGGTCTGGACTATAGAGAAAGTACCAGCCAGCAAGGGCTACATAGTGAGACTCTGTCTCAAAAAACAAAAGATACTTGGAGATAAGAATAATTAAGCAAGGAATCGGTCTTCTACAAGAGCAGCCAGTGCTCTTACCAACTAAGCCATCTCTCCAGCCCCAAAAGAGTAGGATTTTAGGAGTGTGTATGTGTATGCGTGTATGTACAATGAATATCTACCTATGTACCTACCCACCTATCAATATATCTAGGTATTAAGCTAGGAATTAGAAGGCAATTCTAGAACAAAACTCATATTCATTTTAACTCATCTTACATTTTATTTATCATGTTCTTTTTTAGCAAGTCTGACCTGACAGTAAATATTAATGTTCTCAATTTTTTCTAGACATTCCAAACTCAGGATCCATATCCAAAGCACCCTGAACATACCTGAGCTCCTCTGATCTTGGAACGTAAGCCAGGTCAGACCTGCTTAATACTTGGATGGAAGATGTACCAAACTCAATGCCTTGAACTATTTTGAGTGCCCTTCCCCCTTTATCCGCAGATGAAATCCAATAGAAACAAGCCTCAGGCAGTCTAGATGGAAAACAAGTTACAGAAGGACTGGTGGGCTGGTGTGTGAAGAAAAGGCAACATTTCCCTATCTCACCTGTCTCCATTTCCTGTCCCAATGGGCTGTACTTCCTGTGCACCTTGTGTCGATCTTTCCACTCTAGGTTTGCCCAGTTCAAGCTACTTTAAGAGTGGGATTTAGGTGCTGTAACTGATAGTTAGTATTCCATTTGTCATCTCTGCATTACCAAAAGAATGCAGGATGCTGCCAAATGCCCCGCATCTGGTCATTAAAGGACCTATCAGCATTGCTGCTGGACTCTAAGACATGCTTGGCTGGTATTTCTACCCCTGGTGAGAAGGTCTGGGCTGTGCCTCCCACGCTTCTCCCTGCTCTCCCATGGTCAAGAGCATCATTTAAGATGGAGGCCCAGAGGCAGGAGAGGTTCTGAGACTTAGGACCTTCAGCCTGCTTTGCTTCTTCCTGCCTGGTGACCTTGAAAAAGTCACTTAGCCTTTGGGCCCTAAAGACCTCGTAGAAGTAGAAGAACCAAAGATCTCTTTCAGTTTGAAATGTCTGAGATTCTGGGGATACAATTGCAGTCCTTGGCTAAAGAGCAAAGGAAAAAAATCTCTCTGTACTTTGTAACAGAACACGGCTTCTGCTTTCCAGCCTTAGACTATATACAATAAAATTCACAGAATTAAAACCCTCAAGGCCTTTGTTCTTTCTTCAAATAAATTTTTAAAAATTTATTTTT